TGTGTGTGTGTGTGTGTGTGTGTGTGTGTGTGTGTGTGTGTGTGTGTATTTTTTAATATTTATCTATTTTGAGAAAGAGAGTAGGCAAAGGTCAGAGGGAGAAGAAGAGAGAATATCAAACAGGCTCTGCTCCTCTGAGTGCAGAAGCTCAATACAGGGCTTGAACCCATGAACTGCAAGACCATGATCTAAACCAAAATCAAGATCCCAGCTCTTAACCACCCAGGCACTACTCAAGTCAGTTAGAAAAAAAAAAAAAAAAATGCAGTCAGGCACACCTGAGTGGCTCAGTCAGGTGAGTGTCTTAATTCTTGATTTGGCTAAGGTCAAGATCCCAGGGTCATGGGATAGATCAAGGTCAGCATTGGCTCAATCATACTTACCATATATGTTAAGAAGTTGATTCTTTAAAAAAAAATTTTTTTAACATTTACTTATTTTTGAGACAGAGACACAGCATGAGCAGGGGAGGGGTAGAAAGAGGGTGACACAGAATCCCAAGTAGGCTCCAGATTCTGAGCTATCAGCACAAAGCCTGAAGCAGGGCTCGAACCTATGAACCATGAGATTGTGACCTGAGCAGAAGTCAGACACTCAACCAACTGAGTGACCCAGGCACCCCAAAAGTTTATTTATTTTGAGAGAGAGAGGGCATATGCACAAGAGCAGGGAAGGGACAGAGGGAGAGGGAGAGAGAGAGAAAATTCCAAGCAAACTCTGTTTGCACTAGACTAGGCACAAAGCCACAAACCATGGGATCATGCCCTGAGCCTAAATCAAGAGTAGGTCACTTAACCTACTGAGCCACCCAGATGCCTCTAGATAATTTATACTTCCCAACCACAAGGCAAATTATAAAGCTACAGTAATCTACAGACTTCAAGTTGTATTACAAAGCTATAATCATCAAGACAGTATGGTAACTGGGACAAAAACAGACAGAATAATGGAGCAGAATAGAGAACCCAGAAATGGACCCACAAATGTATGGCCAACTAATCTCTGACAAAGCAGGAAAGAATATCCAATGCAATAAAGACAGTCTCTTCAGCAAGTGGTGCTGGGAAAATTGGACAGCAACATGAAGAAAAATGAACCTGGCCGACTTTCTTACACCATACACAAAAACAAACTCAAAATTGATGAAAGACCTAAATGCAAGACAGGAAGCCATCAAAATCCTAGAGAAGAAAGCAGGCAAAAACCTCTTTGATCTTGGCTGCAGTGACTTCTTACTCAGCACATCTCTGGACAAGGGAAACAAAAGCAAAAATGAACTATTGGGACCTCATCAAAATAACAACCTTCTGTCCAGAGAAGGAAACAATCAGCAAAACAAAAGACAACCAATGAAATGGGAAAAGGTATTTGCAAATGACATATCAGATAAAGGGTTAGTATCCAAAAATCTATAAAGAACTTACCAGACTTGGGGCGCCTGGGTGGCGCAGTCGGTTAAGCGTCCAACTTCAGCCAGGTCACGATCTCGCGGTCCGTGAGTTCGAGCCCCGCATCAGGCTCTGGGCTGATGGCTCAGAGCCTGGAGCCTGTTTCCGATTCTGTGTCTCCCTCTCTCTCTGCCCCTTCCCCGTTCATGCTCTGTGTCTCTCTGTCCCAAAAATAAATAAACGTTGAAAAAAAATAAAAAAAAAGAACTTACCAGACTCAACATGCAAAAAACAAATAAACCAGTAAAGAAATGGGCAAAAGACATGAATAGACACTTTTCCAAAGAAGACATCCAGATGGCCAACTGACACATGAAAAATGCTCAACATCACTCATCATCAGGGAAATACAAATCAAAACCCCAAAGAGATACCACCTCACACCTGTCAGAACAGCTAACATTAACAACTCAGGCAACAACAGATGTTGGTGAGGATGCGGAGAAAGAGGATCTCTTTTGCATTGTTGGTGGGAATGCAAGTTGGTGCAGCCACTCTGGAAAATAGTATGGAGGTTCCTCAAAAAATTAAAAATAGAAGTACCCTATGACCCAGCAATTGCACTACTAGGCATGTATCCATGGGATACAGGTATGCTCTTCAAAGGGGCACATGCACCTCAATGTTTACAGCTGCACTATCAACAATAACCAAAGTATGGAAAGAGCCCAAATGTCCATCGATGGATGAATGGATAAAGAAAATGTGGTATATATACAACGGAGTATTACTCAGCAATCAAAAAGAATGAAATCTTGCCATTTGCAACTACGTGGATGGAACGGGAGGGTATTATGCTAAGTAAATTAGTCAGAGAAAGACAAATATCATATGACTTCACTCATATGAGGACTTTAAGACACAGAACAGATGAACACAAGGGAAGGAAACAAAAATAATATAAAAACAGGGAGGGGGACAAAACAGAAGAGACTCATAAATATGAAGAACAAACTGAGGGTTACTGGAGGGGTTGTGGGAGGGGAGATGGGCTATCAAGGAATCTACCCCTGAAATCATTGTTGCACTATATGCTAACTAACTTGGATGTAAGTTTTAAAAAGTAATA